GTTCAAAATCCACATTTGGTTGGGTTTGTGAAGGCAAAGGTACAAAACGCATCTAAAAGCCCTGCCTGCAGAAAGCTATCAGCTGTCCAGAGGGCAAAGACATTGAGGACCACTGGCATGAGCACCTCGTGTGAACCAGTGGCTCAATGGACCGCCCCATTGGCAACTGCATCTAAAAACAGCGTGTAAAAAAATCCTGGAATAGACCCATTCACTAAACCCCGTTGCCTCGTGTCCAATTCATGCGGAGCGCACGCCTTTTCTTCTGGGGCCGAAGAAGTCAGGGATGCCATGTTTGACTCATGCAAAGCTGATGATGGGTCAGCCAAGTTGACTGAGTGAGCTTTGGAGCACTCTCACTCACCAATGTGTCTTTGTTTCTAATAGCCATGGCCTCCAACCGAATAGCGATGGCCTCTAACCTAATAGCGATGGCCTCCAACCGAATAGCGATGGCCTCTAACCTAATAGCGATGGCCTCCAACCGAATAGCGATGGCCTCTAACCTAATAGCGATGGCCTCCAACCTAATAGCGATGGCCTCTAACCTAATAGCGATGGCTTCCAACCTACTAGCAATGGCCTCCAACCTACTAGTGATGGCCTCCAACCGAATAGCGATGGCCTCTAACCTAATAGCAATGGCCTCCAACCGAATAGCGATGGCCTCTAACCTAATAGCGATGGCCTCTAACCTAATAGCGATGGCCTCCAACCGAATAGCGATGGCCTCTAACCGAATAGCGATGGCCTCCAACCGAATAGCGATGGCCTCTAACCTAATAGCGATGGCCTCTAACCTAATAGCGATGGCCTCTAACCTAATAGCGATGGCCTCTAACCTAATAGCGATGGCCTCTAACCTAATAGCGATCACCTCCAACTTATAGCGATGGCCTCCAACTTACTAGCGATGGCCTCCAACCTAAGAGAAGCATTCTTACTCACCAATGTGAAAGCACACAGCCCAAGAGGTCTGAGACACTGACCATCACGACGACCAGCTTCGCTCGTGGAAAGCTGTCCAGCCACCTGTTGGCAACAAGTTCGTACGTTATATGATTGTTATGTTATGAGATATGGTCCATTTCGTTGGGATCCACCGCGGATCCATCTGAAAGCGTGCAACCGTGCCCCGGGAACACCGCGACCACGACTCGTGTGGCCAAAGTCAAACCAAGCCTTAATTGGCTGTGAATCCCTGTAGACAAGGTGCATGCTTGTTGCTTGTTTTCTGGAATCCTTGTTGGTGCATCGTCCAAACGCAACTCAGTCTGCACCAAACAGGCCACACCCACCAAACCCAACCCAACAGATTCCTGAAAAATATGTATATTCCATCCACTTTCGAAGGCGACAAAGTCGCTAGAATTAAACATGGATGGTCCGGAAAAGGAATGTACGACGTGTTTTTGTTTCATCTTGTTTCACTGATCTGGTTTCCAAGAAGGATTTCCTGGAACGTCAAGGGTAGTCTATCAGTTTCTACAGGTAGGGAATCCATCAATCACTTTTGATGACGATTTCAGGGACTAGAAAATATGTCGCTTTTGACCTGGGCAGGCAGCGACTACATTGCTAACGGATCCCTTGACAAAAGAAACTGAAAACAGGGTCGGCAACAGGACTGTTGCTGGGGAGACCGTGTGCAAACCTAGTGGTTGGCCTCTCGCTTTGAGCTGCATCTAGCACACTTGCTACCCCAAATAATTAGTCAATCATCTTCCAAGCTCTCTTGTTGAATCTCCTGGATATTGATCATCCTTCCTGTCAGGCCCTGGGTCCAGAATCAAGTCTTCATGCCAGGACGTGGAGCGTGGTGGTGATCAGCCATAGGATCAATCCACATAATGGGCGGCTGTCAAAATGTATTTTCCCAAAAGTGACGGTCCACCAAACCAGATGGGGCCCATCTCCAAAAAATATTATGACCGGAATGGATGGAACCATCATAAAGGCACATGATGCTTTACAAATGCAGGGTGCTAAACTTCAAAAACTGCCTGAAACGTATGCTGTTGCGCGTAGCTTTAAACTGGAGCTGTGGCGCTAGGGCACAGGTTGAAACTGCCACTACTGGATCATTGCAGTTGCGGGGCTTTTGCGTGCTTTTTGCTGTGGGTTAGCAGTTAACACATGTTAAAATGCTTTTGATGATTCAATTTTGTGTCCCACCCTGTGGGACCCAGAGCTTTGGCAAACATGAGGAACGAATGTTCAAAATGAGTCACAATTAGGTGAGGCGTGTACCACTCACTGGTCACAAAGTGGACCATCACCGAGCGGCCAGCGTGATGCCAGCGCGGAGCTAGCACACGGACGGGGCAAAACATCACTGGTGTTTGAGTGAGTGAGTGGCTGAGTGGAGTGGAGTGGAGTGGAGTGGAGTGGAGTGCAGTGGACCACCACCACCACCACCACCAACAACAACAACAAATTGTGGCCATATCATAGAGAACCTAGCGCCAACCTACTAGCCCTGCCTGGCAGAATTATCATATAGTCTGGTCGGGGGCCGGCTTCTAAATGAAGATGTAAAAAGCCTGCTCAAGTTGCTCATGTCACTCGGTCTTTTCTGAGTCTTTTGCTCGCAATCCAGCCTTGGAGCTCACCTGCCCATCGAATCCACCACCCACACGGATCGCATCTGGGCCACCCACACCCCAAGAGGGCAGCCGCAAAAGAGGCCAGCCCGGTGCGAAAATTAATTACAAGCCTGGCAAGCTGGGGCTGATGGGCACCAGACAGAACGACACCGCGATGGGCCGTGTTGAATGCTCCAAGAACGACCTTGAAATCTCTTGAACATGGGGAAGTCAAGGAAACTTGCACTGTCGAGGTTAGTGCAGTCCGTTTGATGTGGCAAACTCTGCATGACGAAAGTTTAGCACCTCGCAGTGCCTCGAGCACCCAACGAATCCGCCAGCGAGCCATCCGGCTCTCGTTCTCGTTCCAGACGTGTCGCCCATCGCCGGTCGAAGTCCGGGGGCTCTGGGACCGAAGTGCAACTGCTCTGATCCAAGTGTGTAAACGGAAGCTGGTTGAACACCAGATCAGCCGAAGTCGCCAATCTCCTCCGAAGTGAAAACCACTGGGATTCTGCTCGGCTGTGGCTGAACATGGCTGAACATGGTTGACGCACCTTGGAAACGCTGGCCATGTTGCTGGTGTTTTGGACCATGTTGCTTGGTGTTGTCATCTATAGTCAATCTAGTCCATCTCGTGTTCCTGTTCTTTGGCCTTGTAGCTCTCTCCTTGAGGAATGGAGAGAGGTACATGTCATCGGCATTCGAAGGGCTCTTCAGGTTCAACAGCCGAGTGTTGAAACCGGCAAGAAGCACTGACATGAAGTAACCACTGACATGACTGGGATGAGACTCCTTAGATAAGAATGGAGAAAACCACCAAGCAGGTGTGAAGTTCATTCGAGTTTAAATTCGATCCCATGACCTTATTGAATTGTTAACAGATTCAACAGGTCAATAGGTGTCAATAGTTTTCCGAACATCACCCTGACTCTGGTGCATAAACAAGCCAGTCTGACAAAGCCAGCAAAAGCTTCTGTACAATAACCAACGCCTGCCGCACGAGGGTACAAGGAAAATGTTTGTTATGAGCTTGGATTTGCTTAAGGAACAGGTATGGTAAAACTCATATTCCCTGAAGGGGATTTGACCATACGGAAAGTAACAGTGAGAAGGGAGCCTTTTTCCTCGTTTGTCAGACAGTCTGCAGCTCGTTGGTCGTGTCAATCCATGACTCGTTGGGCTGAAATTTGGATCCCCATGAACCCCCGAGGAACTTTGTCTTGGAAATTGAATTATCCCATAGATCTGGGTGGGCGCCCGAATTGCCAACAAACATGTTCTGATGAAGCCCAGCCCTGAACTGCAGAACTGATCGAAAGAAGCCAAACTGTTCTACCATCTCTACCATTTCTGGAGGGGACCTCTCTAAACGCAAAATACCTTTTGCATAGGTTATCAATGGTTCTCAAAATAGGGGTAGGGATCTTGAACACACGGCATCTTGAACACAGGCCTTTTTCTTCTGTCTTCTCGTGTTTGCCAGCGGGAAAGAGGAGATTCCGAGGCGACTTGACCCTTTTCGGGTGAACCGAGATGACTTCTTAGGAGATGGGATGCTCCACCTGAGGGGCTACCGCTACCGCAGCACGCTTGTGGATGAGGTGTGGATCCACCGGATTGCTCTGACAAAGGTTATATGGTGTTATATATATATAACTGCATGTGTATATATATATATTATAGGTGTTTTAAATGGTGTGTAACTCCTCACTGCTTCACCTATGATGTCGGCATGAAAACCGGAGTCTATGGTATGGGCTATGGTATGGGGAAGGCATCAGTACAATCTTTGTCTTACTCAATCTGTCCACCACGGTACCACGAGGAACACGTGTAGGGTGTCACTGAAATTCAGCCAAAATCAGCACTAAACTCTTTATGAAGTCGTTGCTGTGAGCGAATTTAGGCTGTTGTGAGGTCCTCGTAGCAAATCATTCTTCTTGCTTATGTATGAGCTCTTTACCGGCCGTCTATCTACAGTAGTTTAATTCTATAGTGGTTACCGCCTGGGTACTCTGCTTTGTCTTGGTGACAATGAAGCAAACACTTGTTCAATTGCTGAATCTCCTCACTGTACATGCGCTAGCGAACGTACGCTTGCACAAAAGACCGCAAAGAGCACAGTTACAGGTGCCGGTGCCGCACACAACTCCATCACCAAAGGCATTCCTGATTGAAACGAAAATGGTCAACGTCCGACGGTAACATGTTTGTGCGCTTGTTGCCATCTGATTTTTGCTAACAGTGAGTTGTAATGAATTGTATAATGACTCTTCCAGTTTACAAGACGAGCGCAAAAGCTAGTTTTTCTCTCCACATTAGCCCTATAAATTATCTGGACTGTGTCAAAACAAGACTGAGGAACGCATCAGCTCAACCATAATATGTTGATGCAAATTGTGCTAGCAATACTGTTCATGTCCTTTTTTGTGCTCCAAGCGAACACACAACGCCACTTGCTGGGTGGTTTCCCCTTGCCCATGTTGAGGCATCATCTCTTGATTTCTACCCGAGCATCCCGAAGCAACCCGAAGCTGCTGCTCGGTACACTGGCGAAGCGCGGGGACACGGCAGACAGCCCTTTGGTCGATGGCCGCGGAGCCGTTTAACACTAAGCCGTCCCATTTTGGACACCTGCTGCGGCGTGAAACTGCGCATGTGTCGCGTTTCAACTGAGCCAGGAAACGAACTTTGAAACTTAGCAGCTTGCAACATCGACAAAAAGCAAAGGCAAAAGGCCAACTGTGCCTGACTTCCAATCGCCACAAATCAATTCGATTCGGGGTCTGCTATGGTCTGCAAAGCTTTTTTCGGTACTTTTCGATTCGACGCCTTAGGGATTAGACAAGCATGCTGAGGCCGGAAGCATCAGAATGTGCAGCACCAGCTGCAACCTGAAGAACATGGAGATTGAACTGAAGGCTGAAAGATGTGCAAATGACATTGTCTTAGTCTTCTATTCGCACTTTCGGACAGTTGGCATGTCCCACAAGCATGCACTACCTGGTACCTTCTTCTGCCATCCTGAAACACACCAATGCCCAATCTAGAAGGGGCTTCAAGTCATCTCATCCTGATTCCAATGGAAAGTTCCGAACTTCCCCAGTTTGGGATGTGAAGGTGTTCCGTATTGGACTGTTTCTGGCGCCACTTGCTCACTTCTGAGCACTGTGCACTTCGTGAGCAACCTCCACGCCATCTTCTGCCCATAAGGGATGTAAGACAGCGTGTACCACACCAAGGACATCCTCAGCAACGAGGACTTGGAAGCCGGTGACTCAGACCCGGCTCGTTTTTCTTAATAAAGAAACCCATCTTCCCTACAAGCAGGATTTACCCATCGGGGTTAAACAAACGTCCTAAGCAAAACCAGGTATACATCTGTTCTTTTTCCTGTTGGTGATCTCAATTCTTGTAATTTATATGACTCGACTATGAATTGAGATGGGAAGACCTCCCAAGCATTTCTGTTAAACCCCGGCTGTCGGGCCTCCCCATAGCCATCATTGCTCCATGAATTGAATCGGACTTTGAATCAAACTGCCTCTCTCTCCAACAATCATGGACGTGGACGTCCCTGGCCCCTGGAAAGGTCATGCAAGTAAGGGGTTGTCCACTTCCATGTTTGCAGGGAGGGTACGGTTTGGTCGCATCTTCAACCCCACAAGACTTCCAGATGTTGCGATGTTTCTCCCTGCATCTCGCTTCGCTGCGAATGAAATTCACTCAACGCAGCTTCCACGACGTGGTACCCCGGTCCGAAACTCGGCGTGCGTTTTCTCACGACGTGTTCAGCCCCCCGAAAAACGCCAGACGTGTTTCCAGCTAATGACGAACTACACAAGCAAGAGGGCCGATTTAGTTTTGGTTATGTTTTGTTTATTTGTAAATGTTTTCTTTACCGATAGTCTGCAGGGGGTCCGGGCCACTGCAGAATCACCAGCGCCAAGATGAGCAGAGCGCGGCCATGGAATCGTGGTGCCTGGCACATGGCGAATGCTATTGTGGGCAAACTGCAATGCCAAACTCGCTGCTATGGATGCAATGCCAAACGGTGATTCACTCCAAAATACTGCGAGCAGATTGCTTGGGAATCGGAACATTTGAAGGACAAAGGACGAAGTTCAATCCCAGATCGGAGAGGTCCCAAAACTAGACGACGAACACGAAGAAGCCGTCCGAATCCAACTGGGATTGGGATGGAAGATCAAGGTGATATCTACAAACCAGTTACTGCTAGCTTCTTTGTTACGTTCGTAGCGATGGCCTCCAACCCAAAAACGCGATGGCCTCCCCCTCAATTCGCGTCCTTGCTAGTAGCTACAGAGTCCCAAAAACTCCGAACTCTTCTTCTCTGAGAATCCCAAACACCGACTTGGACGAAAAATGCGGATTCTCGGTGGCCCGCTGGAGCTCAAGCGATCGAAAAATCCCTGGTCTCCCACCTCCCGCATTCCACAAAATCAACGCGACCGACCTTTAGGGGCAAACCCTCCCTGGCGTAGGTGTTTTCCTTGTCCTTTTTACTTCGAACAATTCCGACTTGGAAGGCGTCGAAACATGCAACTTCAAACCTCGCTTCGTCTCATCTTCGGCGTCTTCGGCTCAAACGGATCCCAAGTCTCGGCCACATCCATTGGGAGGGTCCACCCTTCGAATGTCCGGTGGTTTCGGACGATCGACGGGGCGGGCGGGTGACTTTCATGGCATTCGATCCTCCGCGATCGGCCTTCCCCGTTAGTTCGATCGGCCTCAACGGCCACCAAAGTCATCAGCATGGCGCTCACGAAGATCCCTGAAGCATGGGCCTGGCCGATCGGGCGAAGCGGAACACCGGAAGTGGAACACCCGGTTTGGAACACACCTCCGGTTTGGAATGGAAACAAGGTCTTGCACAGGGGCATGTTGTCCGTCCATGTTTGCTTCAGGGAAACCTAAGCTTAAGAAAATATGACACATATAGTAAGATATTTTCTAATATATCTATCATTATCTATCAATAGTCCGAATGCTTTGTAGATTCAAGTTTTATTGCTGAATTTGATGAATTTTGATTGTTTATTGCGTAACCGCCAAATATCCAAAAGTATGATTAAAAGAACACTGATACAGTTGATTCAACATGTCCTCATGTTCTTTGAACCGCTTGAGTACTTCAATAAATCCAGTAGTCTTGAAAGATACTAGTCTCAAAATACATCTACGACACATTATACGCATCCCTCCTGCAGGCCCGATTGGGCTGTTACTTGCAGCCACTGGACTTGCCAACATGGACCAGACGCAGTAAAACTGGGCATGGACAGTTTCTGGAGAGACACAGGCGTTGAGCACGCGGCCCGATTCTTGTCGGACATCTTCCGCAACTGCTTTCGAGGCCCCGCCTGCAGAAGACTGGGAGTCGGTGAGTGGGTGTTGGGTGGGTTTAGAAGCCCAAGCAAAGAAGGTTTGGATAGGTTTGGAGCGGTTTGGGACTTGGTCTTGGCTTTTGTCAGATGCTCAAATTAGAAAAGCTGTGGTGAGTCCATAAAGAAGTGATTAGCGCGTTCTATACAATTATTGGTGGGTAGGATAAACAGTTGACTCCCGGAGCCATGTGGTTAAACATTGCATGCCTATGCCCAAAAAGCATCAAAAACCATCAAAAAACCATGCAAGAAAGGCCTACCTCCGGTTTACTACACTGTTCATCACGAATCCGTTCATGGTTTTCAGGGCCAACTAAATTGTTCACCCGTTGATCAAACCTGACCTCCAGACCTTCAAGATATTGGGCATGTGCTGACCTCATCTGACCTCCACTCAACGAATATGCCCAAAATGGTGCCCATTAAATTTATCACTTCCACGGAAGAGCGAGCCCTTCGGACGGTTCGAGTTTCCGCAGTTTCAGGTCTCCCGACCAAGAAGAAGGTACCCAGAAGCGCCACGATGTTCCTCAGCCGGATGTGGCATGGCCCGATTTCGAATTGAGGGAAGTGGCCCCTGTGTGGTGATAGCATCTGGAATAACTTCAGGAATGCCAGTCATTCCACTTGAATAACTTAATAACTTCTGGGATGCCAGTCATTCCACTTGAATAACTTAATAACTTCTGGGATGCCAGTGATTCCACTGGAATAACTTCAGCAATGCAAGATTCCACTGGAACAACTTCTGGGATGCCAGTGATTCCACTGGAATAACTTCAGGAATGCAAGTGATTCCACTGGAATAACTTCTGGGATGCCAGTGATTCCACTGGAATAACTTCTGGAATGCCAGTGATTCCACTGGAA